TGGGACTTGAGAGGATTAAGAGTGAAGGGGTGGAGTCTAGTTTGTCAATTGGGTCATAGCCAATGAGGACTCTGTGTGGGCATCGCTTTCTCCTGAGGATTCTGGGAACTCTGGTACTTCCTCCTTGGTGTTGGGAGACACTTTCTCTCTATGCTCACTCCCCGGGAGACATTGCAGCTGACAAGACACATGGAACTACACTGGTGCCCTGAGCTTCAGAAGCCATGTGGAGACCCCTGCCAGCACTGAGATGCTTACAACGGCTCTGGATCCACAAGACTTCCCACCCACTGGCCTGTGATCTTCCTGCATTCAGCATCATTGTACATGTTGCAGGAGTCTGAAGAGGACTTTATCTATTGGTATCGGACATATGGGCTAATATTGTACTTATGAACTCGATCTGCACTGGGCTGGAATGCTCTTAATGTACAATTACTCTGTATACAAAGCTCTTCCTTATACATGTATGAGCATGTCTATGAATTTGTTTCTGTAGTCCACCCAGACTAACACAATATTCCTGCTCATATTTGTATGTCAAATCATCACAGACAAAATATGGCATTCTCTCATGATGATTTCTCCTGCTACAAATAAACAGGGATATTTTGATAGTTATTTTTCATGTCATCTTAGGTGGGCCCGAATTCTTCCATGATATAATATAGTGTGGTCAACTCCATGATGGTAACTTCTGTAAACAGCCTAGCAGTTGTGAAAAGAATCCGGAGGAGGATCACCTCCTCTATCAGGTCACAGTGTTTATATAGTTAACATAGGTTACATTGTGGCCAATTCTTGGTACACATTGACAATGTTTGGAAACTATCTCATGTCTACTGATGTATTTGGGCCTGCATCTGGTTTGATGACCTCCTGTGACATCAATCTGTGGACTGCCTACCATGAAGTCATTTGACTGACCACAGATTCATTCAACTCTGCAACCACCAGCCTGTGCTCTTTCTAGCTCATCTTCCTACTTCCTGTTCAGCTTACATCTGGTCCACAAATGTGAAACAGCCTCGACAGATCTACTGCTAAAGGGAAGTGAGCTATTTCTTGATGTGAATCTCTTTCTATATATGTACACATGCAAGCATCACTGGTTCTGCTTCTCCAAAGAACCAGCCTAACACAGGTGTATTGGTCTTTTTGTTTCCTTAACTTTACCTTAGATTGTAACTCCTGTTTGACCACCAGAGGAATATTTGCATTTTTGTGTGTGTGTGTGTAAAATAGTACAGGATAAAATGAAGTGGAAAAAATGAGTGCTACTCATGATAAATCAAACTAATTATTTGAATGTGTTGGAAATGTTGTTGGTTTCTATCTGAAATAAGTAATACAAAGAAGTGGAAAATCAATCGTTTCTAATGGCAAATAGTAAGATTAATGTGATGGCAAATTGTAAGTACGTATTGAGAATATACTTATAGCCCATTTAATTAAGATATGGTGAAAAGCACTTTGTGTTTTAAATATTTATTTTCATTTCTTATTGTAAATGAATGTTAGTATACACCCCCAACTTTGCATTAATAAAATAGCATGCTGAAAATACAAATCCATGTAGTTAAAATATAAATAATATGGAGTCAATTCCTTAATATGGCCCTTCTAATCATATTCTTGTTTGTCATATTAGTCTTTGTGATGTAATGTAGTGTTTGTACTTGTGGCTATGATATTAATTTGAACAGAGCTCCCTGTTACAAGATTAAAGTAGGATGAATCTGGTTGTCTGTTAATGCTCTTGAGTCCATCCTGACTAATAACCACCCTGTGTACAACACAAGGAAACATTGCCAAGTCCTTTGCCAGCCTCACCATAGTTCTAACGTTTAAGCCGATCTCTGCAGCCACTGTATCAGTTCATCGCGTCGGAGTTCTTGCTCTTTTCACTGCCGCTCTACTTTCTCAAGCACGAAGTTCTCCGCCAGGCAGTGTTCTCTCTTGACAACACGTCCAAAATACCTGAGACAAGTCTTGATATTGAGACAAGTCAAGGCCTCAAAGAAGTATTCTAGCTATACATCTTATGGTGAAGTTTGTTTATTTTTCAGGCAGTCTATGATACTGAATATTGTTTCCTAGTACCGTAATTCAAATGCACCGATTCTTTATTCATCTTCCTTATTTAATATCCAACTTTTATGTGCATATGAAGTGATTGAAAACACCAAGACTTGGTGCAGAGATGCCTTAGTCCTCAAAGTAACAGGCTTACTTTTCCACATTTCAAAGAGGTGTCGTGCAGCAGATTTACCCAACACAATGCATCCTCTGATCCCTTGACTGCTGCTTCCCTGAGCATTGATTGCAGAACCCAGTAAGACATTATCCTTGACACCCTCAATCACTTCTTCAGTTTGATGGTTTACAAACTGCCCAGCCTGAGGATTGTGCTTTGATTGGTTTTACATTGCGTTCTAGTCCATGTTGAAGGCTGCTATAGCTGATCTTCTTCAGCAAGTGCTTCAAGTCCTCCTCACTTTCAGCAACCAAGGTGGTGTCTTCTGTATATCACACGTTGTTACTAAGCCTTCTTCAAAACCTGCTGCAGAATTCTTCTTCATATAAACCAGCTTCTCTTATTTTTAGCTCAGAATACGGACTGAATAAATATGGTGAGATGATAAAACCCTAACACACATTTTCTTACTTAAACCATGCAGCATGTCCAAGTTCTGTTCACACAACTACCTCTTGAACCATGCAGAGGTTGTGAAAGAGCACAATGTAGTGTTGTGGGATTTTAGTTCTTCTGATATCTGTCCATAATTTGTTACAGTCCACACGATGAATGAATTACTATAGTCAATAAAACAAAAATAAACATATTTTTGATATACTCTGCTTTTACCAAGACCCACTGACATCAGCAGTGCTAACCCTTGTTCCACATCCTCCGAGTCTGTATGAATCTCTGGCGGCTTCCTGTCAATATACTGCTACATTGTTGAATATTCTTCATTAAATTTTATTTGCATGGGATATTAATGATATTGTTGTATGACTTGAACAATCTCTGGAATCACCATTCTTTGAAATAGCTGAAAATTTGAGTCTCTTCTAGTCACTTGACAAGTAGCTATCAGCCACATTTCTTCATTTTATAGCTGTTGGCCTATGTCATTGTAGATGCCCGTTAGATGCTTGTGAAAACTTGATTTGCTTTTACTTAGAGTCTCTATATTAAACTATTTTCACATGTATTTCTTACCTGCATTTGTATTTTTAGAGAGTTCATTCATTGTATAAAATGTTTATATATATTCTTAAATTTTTTCATAGTCTTATTTCCACTTGTTATTTCTCCAACCTTCTTTAATGATTCTTTTTCTCACCCAGTACGATGCTTCCATACTTACCATGCTTCTGCCAGGTTAGGTTATTTTTGTTAGATGTCAAGGAACCACCTGAGCTTTCCAATATATAATCGTCTTTATTCAGCTACTAGGATTGGAATCAAATACTAGTTCCTAGGTCTATTTTGATGGAATGACTAAGCATACATTCTTACTCATAGTTACCCAAATAAAACAAAATGAAACACTACCGGGTCATGCACCATTCTCAAAATTATTGCTATGTTTGATCCCATCGTTGCAGCTGGTGTTTTGATACATCTTCTTGAGGGTCTTACTCCTTTTTGCTCACATATTTTTCCAAGTATGATATAATTTCCCAGGTCTTGTCCTTTCTTGTAACATGTCTGAAGTAGGTGAGATAAGTCTCACTTGTTCCTTTCAAAGGATAATTCCACTGTACATTTTCCAAATAATTAACAATGGCAAAAACTACAAATCCTTACTTGAAATTACTATAATAACATCTGAATTTGTACCATTATTTCAAAATATGTATTTATTGATCTACAAAACAATGATTTTCAGTTCTAACATATCACATATCTATTCCTGCTGATTTGGTTAATCCATTACTATTCTTACATCATCATTCTGACATAACATTTCATGACTCCTCAGAGATTTAATAGCAATCAGCATTTTCTCCTGAAGAGCAATTTCTCATAACTCATATTATACAAGAACACGAATAATTTTATCCTGAAAATAATGGTGGGATTTTTTTAGGTATAGTCTGAGGATGGGTGTCAATTTCAAATTGACAGAAAAGTTGATTCTCACTTCGTACCCCCAAATACCTCAAGAGTATCATTAGTTGAACGAGTGGCTAACACAGATTTTCTTATTTAAGGATACCAGTGGCTATTTTGTATGCTAAATTGAATATCCTCTGGTGACTTCTTTTTGGAGACTCTGATACAACATAACCTGCACTCATTAGATTGCAACCTCTGCTAATCCTCGTACAAGTGGGCTCGTCCTCGTCTGGAGCTCATTTAGCTTCAGCCTCAGCAGCAAATCACGGATTTTGCTCATAAATCACTTTACTAGGGTTCATTCAGATACATGCAGGACCCATACCTGGAAAATATGAAATTTTCATATATCCTTGACAGTCCTGAGAGAGTTTCTAATCCCACATGTCTGTCATCTGCTCTGAATTTTGGGGGGCGAAAGAGAAGCAGTACACAACAATTGAGAGTAAAATAATGCAGAATTATTACTTTTCTTTACAGTATATTCACTCCAACTGAAACATTTATAGTTATGTTGTTCTAATTCAGTCATAAAGAAGGATAAATGTAAATAACTATAGTAAAATTGTTAGGAAGAATGAAATATTCATGTGAAGCGGTTTCGATTTTCATTTTCACATCTTAATAGAACATTCTAATTGCTGAAATTTAGTGGGTTATATATGACTTTAGTGTTGAGGAAAAATATCACCTCATTGAAATAAAAAAATATATAACTTAAAAAACAATATCTGACACAGTTCAACTTTATAAAATCTAATATCAATTTAGAATTTAACCTTATACATTGAATTTCATTTTTTTTTAATGCCTAATCACTACACAATAGACAAACACCTACAGTTGAGGGATGATGTAGATTCCTTGTCTATATTTTCACAGAGAATAGTCTCTGACTAATTCTTCTCACAGCTCCTATTACTTCTTTGTTCCTCAGACTGTAGATGACAGGGTTGAGCATGGGAGTGATGATAGTATAGAAAACAGCGAGAACCTTGTCTTCTGTTGGAGATCTAAAGGATCGTGGGCGTAGATAGGTGTAAGCAAAGGGTGCATAGTAGAAAGTCACCACCGTGAGGTGGGTGCTGCAGGTGGAATAAGCCTTCTTCCTCCCTTCCGAGGAGGGAATGCGGTACACAGCGAGGAGAACGCGGCCATAGGAACAAGTAATGCCGATGAAAGGAAACACCAGGAACAAAGTGGTGCTCACAAACACCGTGTACTCATAGACCCAGGTGTCCATGCAAGCCAGAGTCAGCATGGCTGGAACATCACAGAAAAAATGATCGATAGATCTGGATCGACAATAGGGGATATGGAGAACATATACTGTATGAGCACAAGAATTGATCGATCCCATTATCCAAGATCCTACAATCATTAGCACACATACACTTTTACTCATCCGAATAGGATAGTGAAGAGGAAAACAAATGGCCACATAACGATCATAGGCCATCGATGTCAAGAGAAGTGCTTCTGCAACCGCCAAAGTCAAGAAGAAGAAGCTCTGGACTCCGCATCCGGTGAAGGAGATGGACTTGTCAGAAGAGAGGAAATTGAAAGCCATCTTGGGGACAGTGGTGGAGATGTAACTCAGGTCCATAAGGGAAAGCTGGCTAAGTAGAAAATACATGGGTGTGTGGAGATGGATGTCCAGGAGAATGAGTAGGATCATGGATAAGTTGCCAATCAGAGCCATTAGGAAAATGAGAAGGATGAGAATAAAGGGAAACAAGCCAATTCTTGATGGTGGGAACAACCCTAATAAAATGAAATCTGTTGATGTTGTGTTATAATTCTCCATTGAATATTCACTTGTTTTCCTTATAGTAAGAGACATGAAGGGTGAAAGGTTAATAAGCCATCGGTGATGTTTTTATTTTTAAATACTGTTATTGATCTAATTACTTTTTCATTTAGATATTGAATATTCAATTAGATATTGAAAAATCAAACTTTCCATTAGATATTGAATGTTCAATTTATCTGCACAATTGAATGACCAATATTACCTTTCATTAAAATAAATTCAGTTACACCAATAGTGGAAGATATTCTGCATTTATGCACAAAAGTGGATTCATTTTTAAAATCCTTTATTTTAATAGCTTAAATACCACTTCACTTAATAAATTTACATATCAGGAGTATAAACATTATAACATAGGCAGAGTGAATTTAAAATTTAAAATAAGTTAAAATGAGTATGATTAAATTATTGCTATATAGATAAATTGGTGATTAGAAGTAATTTATTTTCCCTAGTAAAATAATATTTTTATATCCTAAAACATAAATTTGCAAATCCAACCATTTTTAAAATGTATATTGAGAAGTTAGGCTTAGTTTATGAAGTTACTCTGCTGTACCTGACTTTCCAAATTTTAGTTATAAGTATTTGGTTTTTACTAGACATGAATGAGTAGATATCCTCAGACATACACGAGTAGATAACACCATTAAGTACTAATTAATAATCTTAAATTTAAAATTTTTCCATTATTCTTTTCAATCACCTAACTGAATAGTCCTCTAGTCGATATATAGAATCATTGGCGGATCTTCTATTATACACTACGTTTCTGTAACATTTGCAAATATTACAGTACAAAAGTGTCAATGCTATAAGATTTTTTCTTGCTTCTTCCTCTCTCTGCCATCTGATCATATTAAAAACATCTTCCATGTAACCTCTGCCACATGTGTGAGCTATGCATAGGAAACAAGCCTTCACTGATTTCCCTCTGGCATCATTAAAAAACAACAACACGTGTCTCAATCAATTCTGATAGAATAAAGGAAACCTAATGTGTTTCAGTGGAGTGATTTAAATTTTTAAGTTTTCTAATTTTATATTCATATAAATTATATTTTCAACTCCTAATATACATGCCAGCAGCTCTGAGGGAGAAAGACAGGGCTTTCTACTGCATGAACAGTTACAGTCTAAGACACCCACAGGCAGGGCTGCTAAGAGTCAGCGTTGACTCAATGACTGTGAGTATACACAGTGAGAACTTGCATTACTACAGATGCTCCATTAAATTCCATGAAGTAGAATCACTACATATCATACATAAATATATAAATATGCACATATGAATAATGACCATGTATGCATACTTATATTTACAGAGGGAGAACATACACAAATACAAGCAGAGAAAGAAAAGAGTAAGTCAAAAAGTATTTTTACACATATAGAGGAAATTTAAGTAAACAACATTTACAATATGAATCTATTGATCTCAGCATATCATCCATCTAGGACTTTTTTAAAAACCAGTTTTTCTTGGCCCATAGTACACTTATCATACAATTCAATAGCTCAAGCATATCAAGAGGAGCTTTAAAATCATCACCACAATCAATTTTAAAGCATTTTCTTCTTTCTTGGACTCTTTATTAGATCCCTCTTTCCCCCCAATCTCCTCTGTCATAGCCCCAAGAAACCATTAATCCAGTCACCTATCCTAGATTTCATATCCAGATAATCATACAAACAAAACAATAACAACAAAGTAAAACAGAGAAACACCTTAATTGAAAAGGAAATAGAAAATATTAAAAACTAGAACAAATTTAATTGGGTTAGCAAATTTAAAAGAGACTCAAATGATAGATTGTTAAAATTTAACCCAAGTACCTCTGTAATAACTCCAAAACACTCGGTCTGCTAGCAAGACTATTCACGTCCCTGGTCTATATTCAGAGGGAATTCACCAGACGCTTAATACATGTTTACTTTGCCTTCACATGTTTTTTTAACTAAAACAATGTTTAAATGGGTCAAAATGGAGAGCAAATGATAAGATATTACATTTTAATCTAACTACATCTGGAACTTTTAAGGTAGTGTTTCCAACATGCCCCACCTGAGGACTAAGATGTGCCTCCCTGAGTAATGGTATTTTCATTCATCTCAAATGCAAGAAAAAACTAGAATGTGAATTTAAAAGACCACAAAAATTATGTATTTGAATTAAGGTGTTTGCAAAGAATAT